TTATTTATTTAAAATTAAATTATATATAGTGGGTCTAGCACACATAGTCAGCCGCACAGCTGGCATGCTACTAAAATATTTTATTATTCATAGACATAAGTTCTTTATTACTAATTTACTAATTATTACATGTTTTTTCCTCACATTTTATATTTTTTTCATTATTCAATATATGATTTATTAAATTATATGCAATATTATGAAAATTTTAAATTTGAATTTGAAAATTATTGTTTGTTCGTTTTTTTATTTAAAATTGATAACTATTTTTTTATTTATTTATACCATCAATAACAGAAACTTTAATTTTTTTTTATATCTAAATTATATTGTAGTCAATAAAATATTTAACATAATGAATGAAATGAAATAATTTTACAGAACTCATATTATTTTCAAGGTAGGTCATTGTATTAAGTATCATAATAGCTATTTATATATATATATTTATGTTTTTATATTATTTTTCTTTTTATTAACTTATTCTTATTTAATTTATTCTCATTTAAAATATTTTTTATTTTATTTTGTTTTATTTAAATATAAAAATATAATAATTCAATAAAAATAAAAAAAATTTATTACAGATACAATGGTCTGTACTGGTTGTTGTGCAACACTTGATCATATTGTGACTTACTTGTTTAAACAATTATATCAAAAAGGTATTACTTACTTGCTATTATTTGAATCAAATTAATAAATATGATTATAATATAAATACAATACATAAATACAACATATTTTTTTTTTTGTTAGGAGGATATCCAGGAAGGAAAAATACTGTAGTTCCAGGAGGTGGAGATTTATTCTTACAAGTTTTGAAACAACATCCTGAAATTCTTCAGCAAATGTTAAGTACTGTTTTAAATGTGATAATGTTTGAAGATTGTAGAAATCAATGGAGTATGTCACGTCCTCTATTGGGATTAATTCTTTTAAATGAAGAAGTAAGTATTTATATAGTGTATTTTATGTATATACTTTATAGATTATATTAATAAGATTTTATTATAATATATATATTTAATTTTTAAATATTTATTAATAAATATTACAGTATTTTAATCAATTACGAGAAAATATTATTAGAAGTCAACCAGTTGATAAACAAGCAACAATGGCACAGTGGTTTGAAAATTTAATGGAAGGAATCGAAAGAAATTTACTCACAAAAAATAGAGATAGGTAAGAAAAATTAAAAAAAAAATTATATATACATATAATTATATTTATGACATATTTATGTTATGTTTTTTCTCAGGTTTACACAAAATTTATCATTGTTTAGAAGAGATATAAATGACACTTTAAAAGGACCTAATACAACTGCAAATCCTATTGGTGATATGATGACCTTGACCTTTAATTAGATTTTCCTAGGTTCTTGCCTGCCAAATGCTTGAATGTGTGCGCGAGTGAACTATAAATTATGGTGGATTTAAAATTATGATTTTAGATGAGTATAAAGATAATAAATTAAATATTGCTGTTTTATAGAAGAATTATTGTTTGGCTTCCTATTCTTTTGTAACTTTAACTTTCGTTTTTTACATTTATTAAACTATATATACGTGATATTTCAAAATTTAGAATATTTAAATCTATATATGTATATTTCTTATTTTTTAATTATACATATATAGTATATTTATAAAATTAAGTTTTATACATTTCATTCTAAATTTATAAACAAGAAAGACCAAATCCTTTTTATTACCTTTATACTCCTATTACTTTGATTTACTATCATATTGGTAAATATCATATTTGATAAATATTCCTGCACATATATTAAGTACAAAGAATGATTTGCAATAAATATATTAAATTTCATAAATCAACAATTATTGCATCAAAAAATTTTGTATGGATAAATAATTGATTTTATTACAATTGTCTTTTACAAATATTTACGATATCAATTGTTATCAATTAAAATTATTATTACAATAATTTTTATGCTAATATTAAAATATGTATTTCAGGTATGAATGACTTGTTTTACACTATATTTTAGTAAAAGTTTGAGTTCAAGTATTAAGGATCATCATTTTACATATATTATTCATTATATCTGCGTCTTCTCTATTTTAAATAAATAATAAATTATCATCTTAATTATATTAAATAACATTTTAAAGATAAAGTTTAGAATAGGAAGCCAATTACATAATAATTACATCATTATCATAGATCTTGTTCTATATTACTTTTACACACAACTGACTTCCACATTTAAACATATTCATTAACATTTTTTATTACATATAATCATTCTAAGAATGTTTTAATAAATTAACAAGAAAAATTAAAAAATCGTTACCAAAAAACCATTAAGCAAACAATATCATTTCATTGATAATTGTTTAAATAAATTATTGAATAAATCATCCATAATATTAATGATATATCACGAAAAACATCATTAAATTAATAACGCAAAAATTTTTTTAAAAATACATTGTTACTATTACTATTATTATTATTATTACTACTACTACTACTACTACTACTACTGCTACTACTACTACTACTACTACTACTACTACTACTACTACTACTACTACTACTACTACTACTACTACTACTACTACTACTACTACTATTACTACTACTACTACTACTACTATTATTATTATTATTTTTATTTTTATTATTATTATTATTATTATTATTATTATTATTATTATTATTATTAATATTAATATTGTTATTATTATTGTTATTGTTATTATTATTATTATTGTTGTTGTTATTATTATTATTATTATTATTATTAATATTAATATTGTTATTATTATTGTTATTGTTATTATTATTATTATTGTTGTTGTTATTATTATTATTATTATTATTATTAATATTAATATCATCATCATCATCATCACCATCATTACTACTACCGCCACCATCCATCATTATCATCATTATCATCATTATTATTATTAGTATAATTATTAATTAATATTAATTATCATTATTATTACTATTATTTATTATTATTATTATTATTATCATCATTAATTATTATTATTATTATTATC